CTCACGTTAGACCAAACAAGAAGGAAGAGAGAGAGAGAAACACGAATCAAACAGCATTAGTATTTGAAGAATTTCAAATTGTCTTCCAAATTGCTTCAATCATATCCGCTATATATATGTTGCTCTTAGCAACTGCGAAGTTAACGTTATTTTTGAATTGTTAAAGAGGTTACCTTTTGGGATCAACAGCCACCTTGAGAAGCACTAAGGGGGAGGAAAGATTAGATGAAAGGGGGAAGCGATGGAAACCATCAGAAATTTGCTGCTTTAAAAATGTTTTTATTGGTTGCAAAGATTCTCTTGTTTCTCCGAGTGATACTCTAAAAAAATAATTCTTGGGAAAACGATTCAAGCAGTTGTCTTAAGAATCGTAGAAAAGGTGGTGAAAGGGATGTAGGGTGATTTTTAAACTGTTCTCTATCAGATTATTGTAGAGAGAAGAGCTAAAATTAAAAAAAAAAAAACTTCTCTTGGATCTGTTTTAATATGAATAGTCCTGGAGTTATGACCACAATCAAGCCCGAAAATTTATTTGCTAAGTGAAACATTTTTTCGGTGAGTTGTGCCCCATGTTACAATTTTTTTCTTGCCACGGTTGTTAAGGGAACCATGGCATTTGTTAAGTGACATGGTTGTTAAGTGAAATCTGGCTTCCCCACTGACGTTGCTTGTCATAAGGTTGCAAAATGGGATCACGTGACCCCCCCAGGGATGGCTGCAACTGTCACGTGAGTCAGTGGCCACGCTTCTGAATTTTTGATCACGTGACCAGGGGGACATTACAACAGTCGTAAGTGTGGAAAAAACGATCGTAAGTCACATTTTTCAGTGCTGTTTGTAACTTTGGTTACTAGACGAACTGTTGTAAGTTGAGGACTCCCTCTACAAATACTGACAACGGCTTCCTCCCTTTGTAGACTTGTAATAAATTTGCTATCCAACACTGGCAGGCTGATTCTTCAAACAAACGCAAAGTGACTTGATGCCCGGTAGACAAACACCATGTTTTTTCACCGCAGCGTGATTACAGATGAGTCATTAAGTAAAATGATTATTCAGAAATCGATGTCACTACTCAGCTCTATCTGAGGCGATCCACTTATCCCAATATAGCAGATACACGGTTGATAGGCTAATGCATTTATACGAACCCCGCTGGAAATTTGTGCGCAATTAAGTTCAGGTGATGACCCGCTGGTATATATATATTTTGGCACTTTGCACATCCGATAGCTTGTTCAGCAAATACAGAGATGAAATTGAGCCTTATATGAATGGCATTAAGTGGCAATCGGCAAGCAGATGGGAGATCTCTCCGAATTTTAATACAGGCCCTTAGAACGTGTTCGGCTCCATTAATTACTTGTTTTATCAGTCTGCAAATACTTGTTATCAGTCAATAGATACATTTCTTTTAAGGCCATAGAATCGACTATTATTCTGCCTGCTGGTCTTAAAACATCCCTATCTCCTGTTTTGGCAGATCTACCCTGGTGACAGCCAAGCGTGAAAATTTATGAACGTACAATAAAACCACTCCTTTTCTCCAATTCTGGGCTTTGCTTTCAATTCATCAGATAGAGATGTATTGTGGCCAAAACAGAGCCAGTATACAAACTTCTATAAAGATTAAGGACACAAGAATAATTAAACATGAGGTTTTTTTTCAACATAACTGATTCCAAAGATAATCAAAAGATGAAAGAGGCTATTTTATCTAAGGCCATTTCTAGCGTTCCCATAATTCTGCACACAAAAAAATGTACTTGCTTACGAGGTAAAACTTAGCTAGGGGTTCCATCAAATAAGGATCTGCTTTTTCCATGCAGCTTAAGACCACCAACCATGCAGAGTAAGTGATCACTTAATCGTTTCAAGGACGTAAGAGGAACGGCAAGATATAGAACGAACACGTAACAAAGTAACACAATTGGAAGGGACCTTGGAGGTCTTCTAGTCCAACCCACTGTACAAGCAGGAGGATCCTGTAACCATTTCTGGAGAAATGGCTGCCCAATCTTTTCTTCAAAACTTCCAGTGATGGAGCACCCACCATTTTGTGAAGGTAACACTGGTTAATTGTTCTAATTGCCAAGAAATTTCTCTTTCGTTCTATGTTGCTTCTCTCCTCGATTAGTTTCCATCCGTTGCTTCTAAATTGCCTTCTGGTGCTTTGGAGAATAGGATGACCCCTAAATCATTATTTTATGTTGAGGGTGAAAAAACTATTGCTCGTAGTCTGCTACTTTGGGATGTTTCTAAAAGCAGGTAAGTGTGAAAACACTGCTCCCTCTTGTGGGAGTGAGGAAGAACTTCAAACAAAGAGAGATTTACTACTATAATAATTCTGCCCAACAACTCTGGATTAGCTGGTCTTTTATACTCTATCCAAGCAGACACTATTTTCTCTATTAACAAGGGTTGCTTAGTAGACAACACCAAGAGAATAAGAGGCAGAAGCAGCGGTTTGTATTTAAAGAGCATAAGCAATAGACAGACTTGCTTCTTCATCAGTTTTGGTACAGGTGGACAATTTAATCTTTTAATGTCCGGGATCAGAAATGCAAGATGCTGCCGCAGCCTTCTTGACAAGGGATAAGGGCAAAATCTCCACATGAGATGAGGCCATCTCCTCCGAGGACCTTGCATTCCAGCACAGGCTTCCTCTCGTTGTTCAAGTGAATGTTACTCCCTTGTGTAAACATTGGCTCGAACCCTAACCCTCCAAATGATTAATAAAAATGGCTTCAGCCAGGGAAAGACTGGTCTTAAAAGAAAAGTAATTTATTTCTCTTGTGTACAGAATGGCTTTTGGAGTGGTGCGGTGGCCTAGAGGCGGAGCTCTCGCCTCACAATCAGGAGGCTGGGAGTTCGATCCTAGGTAGGAGGCGGGTATTTCTCTCTTTGGGCACAATGAGAATATATCTGCTGAACAAAACTCCGCATTGGTGACAGGAAGGGCATCCGGCCATTAAACACTCTGTTAGCTCCATTCGGTTGCCCAGACTCCACCCCACAAGGGATTATGAGGTCGTTACAAGATGATGACATATAGAATGGCTTTTCTGAATGTGAATGAGCTAAATTTACTCTTCTTAAACGTAAATCTCCAAACTCCTAAATTTTGTAGTTACAAACTTATCTGCCTTTGGTAGGATTTGTCCATAATGCTTATGTTCTCCTGAATCACAGCCCCTGCTTTAGACTTCAAATTCTGTAAGATTCTACCTCGAATCAGGAATGTACATTTCTATTTTTGGCTGCCTCTAGAATTCCTGTAGGATAAAATAATTAAAAGCAATTTGGTTTCTTACTGTTCAGATGTGGAACCCTGCACAAGCTATTGTGTGGGAAAGCTAGAGTAGGTTTAACAAAGAGAAGGGAAGAGAGAGGCCAAAAAACGCGAGCATGACATTCTCTATCCCCCAAATGTTAGATAAAATTTCAAGCTACACCTTTCCAGATACAACATGGCACATGTTAGTTTGCATCAGCATATCTTGCCTTTAATGTCAACCCAGACTCTTAATATTAAATACAATTCAGAGCTAAAGGGGGGGGGGGGGATAAACAAACAAACCACAATGCCCAGTATTTCATACTTAGCAGTTAATTCTTCATAACATCAAGAACAAAAGAAGAGTGGATTCTACAAACATTGCAGGTAAGTAGATACAGAATGTACAATGAAAAATTGTATATACAAGTCCATTTCAATATACATTGTGGCAGAAAATTAGGAAACAGTTCAGATATAGATGATAGATAGATAGATAGATAGATAGATAGATAGATAGATAGATAGAT